CGGCAAAACGCAGTATCGGCACGTGTGGCGAAGTTCCTTCATTAAAGATACCATAACAAATAGCAAGAGTATACGGTCAATTTCAACAGGGCTTCCTATTATTATGGTACTGTAAAAACCTTCCTTCACAAGAACCACGCCACCTGAGCGTTTCCGAAAATAGGGGACCCTAAATAGTAGGATCCTTATTATAAGGACCCAAAAATAAGGTTCCCCTTCCTATCAGAAACTCCCTAAACTCTAAACCCTAAACCCTGAACCCTAAACCCTAAACCCTAAGCCCCACCTGGGGAAGTCTGGCAGTATCCCAGGTCTTGCAGGAGCGGCTTGATCGCCTCGGCCTCTGCTTCCTGGGTTCTCGGTTTAGGGTTTAGGGTTTAGGGTTTAGGGTTTAGGGTTTAGGGTTTAGGGTTTAGGGTTTTGGGTTTAGGAATATACCTTAAATTATAGTAGGGATCCCTAATATGATTTAAGGTATATTCCTTCATTAAGGGGTATTGGAGTCTCTGGGAAACTGAACTTGAGCCGCTAGAACACGGAAGGCATCATACTCATGATGAGTTTGGGATGTTTGGGTGTAACTACAACCCTAAACCCTAAACCCTAAACCCTAAACCCCAAACCCCTAAACCCTTAATACATGCCTAGCACGTTGGACTTAAAGTCGCTTAGAGCAGACGGTAACTGAAAGAAAAACATAAAGTGTGTTACCAGCAGATTGCTTAAGAAGAACAGGGTCGTAGTCCCCGAAACTGCATGGGCTATCGATCCGCACACTGCCACCTCCGTCCCCGTGCAGTATGGCACGGACTTTCGGGCTGCAATTCTCGCGTTGTAGGATGGGCATCACCTGAAACCCTTTGCCCCTGTAGGCTTGAGCGGTATTCACATGCCTCTGCGGGATGAGAACCATCGTGTCGATGCCCAGTCCAGTGGCAAAGGCAAGAGTCTCCAGAAAGTCAGTGTCGGAGGTAAGCACTGCGATGGCAAGCCCTGCACTTGTTGCACTCCTGGCGGTCCCAGAGACTCCAATACCCCTTAAGCCCTAAACCCTAAACCCTAAACCCTAAACCCTAAACCCTAAACCCTGCACTTGTTGCACTCCTGGCGGTGGAGCATGTCAAGAGCCTCAAGTCTGCCATCATTTGTTCATCATTGGCTTCACCCAGGTCTTCCCTCCGCGGAACGGGGCAGAAAGAGGTAGCAGGTCCCGTGAAAAACTCTCCCCAGTTCTTGTTCTCCGCTCTTCTGGGCTCCGCATAGACAGTGGTCCAGACATCAAAACCCTTGTTTTGCAGCATCTCGATGGCTTCCTTCACTTCGGCAATGCTATGCGTATCCCCATCGACAAAGAGCTTTGCGCTTCTGGTCTCGGCTTTGCAAGCAAGGCAAAGATACCTGGAAGAGCCCTGGCTCCTCCATTTTCTGGCCACTTGGTGCCAGAGAAATCCCTGAAAGCCCAGGCAAAACCGCAAAACTGAAGCTTTGAGCCCAGGAGGTCCTGTGCAAAACCTTCTGCAAGTCTTGGAAGCGAGTGGACTAGAAGTCCGCCACTGCCAGACGTGATGCAACATGGGAGAAGCATCGATCTGCATGGGCTTATCTAGTTTTATGGTTGAAAGGTGCAGGGGTCACGGTGTCGGATTTTTTGGGTAACGGTTTTGGGGGTTTCGGATCTCACGGGTTCGAGCCACCGATATGGGTGTAGACCACAGGAGTACGAAACCTTGACCTCCCTCGATACCACTCTCTCTTGTGATGACACTCGGTATCAAAATTCGCGAAAACAGACCATTAGTCATAGTAGTAGTCGTCGTCGTCGTCGTAGTAGTAGTGGTAGTAGTAGTGGTAGTGGCAGTGGCAGTGGTAGTGGTAGTGGTAGTGGTAATGGTAGTGGTAGTAGTAGTAGTAGTAGTAGTAGTAGTAGTAGTAGTAGTGGTAGTAGTAGTAGTAGTGGTTGTTGTTGTT